CACTCTATACCTGAGAGCGTCTCTGCTATGTCACACAGAAGATAATAGTGCATCAGATTTAAGTCATCAAAATTAAGAGATTCTTAAGTTAATTTGAGGTTTTGGATTTATAGGAAGAGACCAAATTACGTCTAATGTAAAGCTAAACTCTGCATTGTATTAACGTGAATGTAAGTACATATCTAGTATCTTTAGTTAAATAAGAAAGTGAGATAGGTATGCCGAGCAAACATGTGGAGGACATGCTTGTTGGAGGACAGAGGAGTAAGGAGCTGAAAGTCCATTACTCAATCATTTATGTGGACAAGAAAATTATGAAGAATTTTGGCAGGAGTAGCTTTGGAGAAAGTGAGAGTAGGCCAGGAGCTAACATCTTTAAGATAAAGAAAAATGACTTGAAGTCTGAAGTCTGCAGCAAGAGGAGGTATAGTCTGAACACAGAGCTTCAAAGTTTGCAAGGGATGGAAGTTAGGGAGGGAGAAGGGACAATGATTTGCACTGGCAATGAGCACAAGAGGACATGTTCTTCCTCCAAGTTCTGCAATAGAAAGGCTAGCCAAGGAGGCAGGAGAGGAAACAGTTACCTTTGATAAGGCTGTAGGGAAAGAGATATCCTCAGGGGAAAGAAAGCTGCAGTTGGAACAGAGAGGGAAGTTTTAAAAAGAGCCTGAGGAAGTGGGGTGATGACCCTGAGCTCCAGAGCGAACACACGGAAGGGTTTGTGGGTGGGTAGTGGGCGAGTTGATTAGGAGATAGGTTCACATTAGTAACTGTACAGACTAGTATGGATTGAAAGTCCGAGCCGCTAGACTTGGGTAGTTGAAAGAACCAGGGACAAATGGCATGGTGGGATGAGCACTTATGGCCTTTTATTGGGAAGTTGGGGACACTCTACCAGGGAAGTCCTATCCTGCTAGACAGATCTACTTCAAACTATAATGCCTAATAATATATTTTTAAATCAAGTGTCATTTTCAGACATTAGGTAATTAGATCATTTGCACAGAACTGTTGACTTAACTAGGTATCAGAGCATTCATGCTAAGTCGCTTCAGTCATGTCTGACTCTTTACAACCCCATGGACTGTAGCCCGCCAGGCTCCTCTGTCCCTGGGATTCTCCAGGCAAGAATACTGGAGTGGTTGCCATGCCCTCCTCCATGGGATCTTCCCCACCCAGGGATCCAGCCAGAGTCTCTTATGTCTCCTGAACTGGCAGGCATGTCTTTTACCACTAGCGCCACCTGGGAAGCCTAGCTAGATATCATAGAGATTTATTAACTCTCCGTATTGCTATAGTATGTTCAACTTGGTAATTTGTAAACACAGAGAGTAATCATTACTAGTTAGCAAAATTCTTAAAGCTGGAAGGAAAGAAACCACTATTATGTCATGTTCTTAGATAAGTGTTCAACTCATAATATCATCATAGATCATTTATTTAAGTAAATCTACTTAAAAAATAAATTATAACATTTAAAAATGCTTGCACAAAAATTATGTGTAAAGTTATAAAGTTGACCAGACAGATTATTCGTCTGAAGGGTCATTGATATTATCAATAATTTCTCAGATACAATGCTTCAGGCTTTATTTCTCTGAAAACAAGATGTATCGTTATGAGGAGGAAGCCATTGGGTTTTTATCTGGTAACCAAGGCATACAAAGTTGTCAGATGACGTTTTCATCATCTATTAATAGTCTTCAGAAACTGAGCGATCAGTTTTTCTCCCCCACCGTCCCTTGCTTATATTTGGACCCTAGTTCCTGCCAAGTGAAGCTGCTCAATGTGATACCAGGCAGGGATATTTTCTTGATTGTTAGAAATTATTAGCAAACACTTCTAAAAGCTGTTTGATTCCTTTACTGTATCAACAACAAAAGTAAAAGAAAGAAGGAAAAGGGGGCAATAGTGAGAAAAAACTTTAAATTTTAGTTTAGTTGAGAGCACATAAATTTTGTAGTAAAAAAAAAATCCATCATTTGTTTAGTGAAATTTCAATTATAATTCAAACATTACACAATTCAAGTAATATAAATATATTTAGTCTGCTGTTTGTTCTGTCATAAAGTGGGCCAGAGTGTCTACTAAAATAAATCTTACAGATGCATTTGATATGTTTCCTCCTGGGAATAGAAGGCAGAAAGGGACTGGGGCAGAGATGTTTCAAGTTTAGTAAAATATGCATTTTAATTCCTAAGTATTTTGTTCCTCCAATTCGAGCATTGGATAAATTTTGATTCCTATGTGGTCTTGATCTAAACTGTCAGCCCAGAGGGAATGAGAAGGGATAAAAGAGAGGGTCAGTCAGTTCAGTTCAGTCACTCAATCATATCTGACTCTTTGAGACCTCATGAATCGCAGAACGCCAGGCCTCCCTGTCCGTTACAAACTCCCGGAGTTTACTCAAACTCATGTACATCGAGTTGGTGATGCCATCCAGCCATCTCATCCTCTGTCATCCCCTTCTCCTCCTGCCCTCAATCTTTCCCAGCATCAGGGTCTTTTTCAATGAGTCAGCTCTTTGCATGAGGTGGCCAAAGTATTGGAGTTTCAACTTCAGCATCAGTCCTTCCAATGAACACCCAGGACCGATTTCCTTTAGAATGGACTGGTTGGATCTCCTTGCAGTCCAAGGGACTCTCAAGAGTCTTCTCCAGCACCATAGTTCAAAAGCATCAATTCTTCAGCGCTCAGCTTTCTTCACCATCCAACTCTCACATCCATACATGACCACTGGAAAAACTATAGCCTTAACTAGATGGATCTTTGTTGGCAAAGTAATGTCTCTGCTTTTTAATATGTTGTCTAGGTTGATCATAACTTTCCTTCCAAGGAGTAAGCGTCTTTTCATTTCATGGCTGCAATCAGCATCTGCAGTGATTTTGCAGCCCCAAAAAATAAAGTCTGACACTGTTTCCACTGTTTCCCTGTCTATTTCCCATGAAGTGATGGGCTGGATGCCATGATCTTAATTTTCTGAATGTTGAGTTTTAAGCCAACTTTTTCACTCTCCTCTTTCACTTTCTTCAAGAGGCCTTTTAGTTCCTCTTCACATTCTGCCATAAGGGTGGTGTCATCTGCATATCTGAGGTTATTGATATTTCTCCCGGCAATCTGGATTCCAGCTTGTGCTTCTTCCAGCCCAGCATTTCTCATGATGTACTCTGCATATAAGTTAAATAAGCAGGGTGACATGATACAGCCTTGACGTACTCCTTTTCCTATTTGGAACCAGTCTGTTGTTCCATGTCCAGTTCTAATTGTTGCTTCCTGACCTGCATACAGATTTCTCTAGAGGCAAGTCAGGTTGTCTGGTATGCCCATCTCTTTCAGAATTTTCCACAGTGTATTGTGATCCACACACTCAAAGGCTTTGGCATAGTCAATAAAGCAGAAGTAGATGTTTTTCTGGAACTCTCTTGCTTTTTCTACGATCCAGCGGATGCTGGCAATTTGATCTCTTGTTCCTCTGCCTTTTCTAAAACAAGTTTGAACATCTGGAAATTCACGGTTCAAGTATTGCTGAAGCCTGGCTTGGAGAATTTTGAGCATTAGTTTACTAGCGTGTGAGATGAGTGCAATTGTGCAGTAGTTCAAGCATTCTCTGGGATTGCCTTTCTTTGGGATTGGAATGAAAACTGAACTTTTCCAGTCTTGTGGCCACTGCTGAGTCTTCCAAATTTAATGGCATATTGAGTGCAGCACTTTCACAGCATCATCTTTCAGGATTTGAAATAGCTCAACTGGAATTCCATCACTTCCACTAGCTTTGTTCATAGTCATGCTTCCTAAGGCCCACTTGACTTCACATTCCATGATGTCTGGCTCTAGGTGGGTGATCACACCTTCATGATTATCTGGGTTGTGAAGATCTTTTTGTACAGTTCTTCTGTGTATTCTTGCCACCTCTTCTTAATATCTTCTGCTTCTGTTAGGTCCATACCATTTCTGTCCTTTATCGAACCCATCTTTGCATGAAATGTTCCTTTGGTATCTCTAATTTTCTTGAAGAGTTCTCTAGTCTTTCCATTTCTATTGTTTTTCTCTATTTCTTTGCATTGATCATTGAGGAAGTCTTTCTTATCTCTCCTTGCTATTCTTTGGAACTCTGCATTCAGATGGGAATATCTTTCCTTTTCTCCTTTGCTTTTCGCTTCTCTTCTTTTTACAGCTATTTGTAAGGCCTCCTCAGACATCCATTTTGCCTTTTTGCATTTCTTTTCCATGGGGATGGTCTTGATACCTGTCTCCTGTACAATGTCATGAACCTCTGTCCATAGTTCATCAGGCACTCTGTCTATCAGATCTAGTCCCTTAAATCTATTTCTCACTTCCACTATATAGTCATAAGGGATTTGATTTAGGTCATACCTGAATGGTCTAGTGGTTTTCCCTACTTTCCTCAAAAGGAGGTTAGATTCCTAGAATTCTAAGACTTGTTGCTATTTTCTAGCATTTTCCCAATATAATGACAGCTTATTCACTTATAACCAGAATTTACTTTGTTCCTCTGGACTCTCTCTCCTCATCTTTTTATCTTTATAATATATAAGTATAAACACAATGTTAAATATTACATATAATATACATTAAACATATATTGCAAAATGTATTGCAAGTTCCCCACAATTTAGCTGAGTATTACAGAATTATGGAATCATATATTTCAAACTAATAATTCAGCTTTTCATCTCCAACACAATGACTAACATGAAGTAGATGTTAAAAAAATTTATAGGAACTGAATTTACTGAACTGAACTTGGAAATAAAATCTCTTTCCATAATAATCATTTTTCAGCAAGAAGTAATAGGTAAATGCATTAGAAGTGAGAAGAATCAAATTGTTAATAATTTCCTTCCCCCCGCCCCCCACAGGTTTCTGGAATATATATATGGAAGTAAGAGAAGGAACTCTAACCTGATCATGGATTTCGAAGAGAGATTCTTCAACGCACTAAGGAAAAGATAAGAAGCAGTGCATAGTCCTTAGAAATGATGTCCTTTTGCCACAATAAAATTAATATTTCCTGTGTGAAAAGCAGCTGGCCCAATGGCATCCGGGCTTCCTTGTACAGTTTAATGGTGCTCATAATTCTGACCACAGTGGTTGGCAATCTGCTAGTTATTATTTCCATATCACACTTCAAGCAACTGCATACCCTAAATAATTGGCTCATCCAGTCCATGGCTACTGTGGACTTTCTTCTGGGGTGCCTGGTCATGCCTTATAGCATGGTGAGATCCATTGAGCACCGCTGGTCTTTTGGAGAAGTCTTCTGTAAAATTCACACCGGCATTGACATTATGCTGAGTTCAGCATCCATTTTTCACTTGTCCTTCATTTCCATTGATCGCTATTATGCTGTGTGTGACCCACTGAGATACAAAACCAAGATCAACGTCTTGGTTATTTCTCTGATGATCTTCATTAGTTGGAGTATTCCTGCTCTTTTTGCATTTGGGATGATCTTTCTGGAGCTAAACTTCAAAGGAGCTGAAGAGATGTATTACAAACACAGCCATTGCATAGCGAGTTGCTCTGTCTTCTTCAGCAAAACATCTGGGGTTCTGGCCTTTATGACTTCTTTCTATATACCTGGTTCTATTATGCTGTGCATCTATTGTAGAATATATTTCATAGCAAAAGGCCAGGCAAGATCAATTCACGATGCAAAGCAGAAGGTTCAAACAGGGTTGAAAGAGAGAAATGGAATTCCACGAAGCAGAGAAAGGAAAGCTGCGAAGACTTTAGGGATTGTGATGGGAGTTTTCCTAACATGCTGGTGTCCTTTCTTTGTCTGCATGGTCATGGACCCTTTCCTGGGCTATACTATCCCACCCACTTTGAATGATGCATTGATTTGGTTTGGCTATTTGAATTCTACTTTTAATCCAGTGGTTTACGCATTTTTCTATCCCTGGTTCAGAAGAGCACTAAAGATGATTTTAGTTGGTAAAATTTTCCAAAAAGATTCATCTAGGAGTAAATTATTTTCAGAATAAAACCATAGAAATATTATGCTTTCAATCAGTCAGTTCAGTTGCTTACTTATGTCCAACTCTCTGCGACCCCATGGACTGCAGCACACCAGGCTTCCCTGTCCATCACCAACTCCTGGAGCTTACTCAAACTCATGTCCATCGAGTCAGTGATTCCATCCAACTATCTCATCCTCTGTTATCCCCTTCTCCTCCTGCCTTCAATCTTTCCCAGCATCTAGTGAGTCAGTTTTTCTAGTGAGTCAGTTCTTCGCATCAGGTGGCCAAAATATCGGCGTTTCAGCTTTAGCATCAGTCATTCCAATGAATATTCAGGACTGATTTCTAGTGTTTTAGAAAACAGTTGGTGATCATATTTACGAACATGCATAATATCACCCACATGCGCCAATTGCAGAGACTTTTATCAAATATTTGGGTCAAAGATTGTATAGTGAGATATGATGCTTACATCTTGCTTCTTATTTGCCATTTGTATTATGTATATTTAAGTTTTACAAGTCCAGAAATGAAGAACTTAAAATTTTAAAGAACACTTCTTCCCTTACATGAACTGCCATGAAATTGACAGTGGTACCTTATTCAGTTGTTCAATGGTGTAAACTAACAAGCTACATTTGGAGATGGAAATTAGAAAGACTTTATCATTCATTTGCTAGAATATATATGCCTTTTTAAAAAGTCAATTAAAAGTGCACATTAAATATTACTACTGTTTACACATAATTTGCTATTTGTTACTAATTATTAATACATATTCTGATTTTTAAATCTATTAATGTTTACATTTTTTAAATTTTTTTTATTTTCATACTTGTAGGAAATTTGGAAAATAAAGGAAAATAAAAATGATGTATAGAAACAAAATAAAAATTAAAATCTCATTCATAGCTCACTTAAGAACCATATCATTTGTAATGACTGCAAAATGTTAAATTGTATGGATGCACAAATATTTTTCTAACCATTTTCCCATTGTTGACCACTTAGTTCATTTTGTTTGTTTGTTTCTTTCTTTCTTTCTTTTTTTTTTTTGAACAGCCTAAATTAAATGCCTGTTATGGGGGCTTCCCTGGTGGCTCAGATAGTAAAGAATCTGCCTGCAATGCAGGAGACCTTGGTTCGATCCCCAGGTTGGGAAGATCCCCTGGAGGAGGGCATGGCAACCCACTCCAGTACTCTTGCCCATGGACAGAGGAGCCTGTCGAGCTAAAGACCATGGGGTCTCAAAGAGTCAGACACATAACTAAGCACACAGCACCTGTTACTGAAGCTCACAAAAATGTCTGGGAGGATTTCATCCTATTTCAAGGTCATGCCTGATGTGATAGGACTTAAAATGCAAGCTGTAGGAAGTAAAGCAAATTCACTTGTTGGGTACCAGGCTACACTGAAAGAGAAGCAGGTATTCATCAGAGCAGCTAAACATGAGGTAAAGAAGATATATAATCGGACACAGTATATCCCATGTCTATTACGATGGCATATACAAAGAAAAATAAGGAGAAATAGTGGTTTCAAGTAAGATACCCTAATAGAAGTAGGCAAGCATTCTTAATCATAAATATCAATTTGCATTTGAACTGTTTCTAATCTAAACTTCATGTACTTTGTATCATGTTAAGCAGCACCACGGATTTGAATTTATTTGTTTCATAATTGTGACTTATGCTCATGGGTAAGTTAAGGTGAGGCAGTTAATTTTAAATAAAATTTTAAGATGCAAGTTCCTGTATATACATTTCTGTTCACACCCTTCTATCTATTGCAATCTCTTTCAGGACTGTATATTTAGTTTCCTTGATCTGACTAGATTTTGTTCTCGTACATTTTAAAAGCAGTTTTAAAACTTTTTCATTTAGTATATGGTAAGAAAGTTGCCCCTAATCGCTCCTGGCTTCATAAACTATCTTAACTTTTCTACATGTGAAACTATTTTTGTTAAATTTTAAAAAGTGAATAAAAGCATTTAGATAGTTTTCTATACCTTATAGCAAGTTTCTGTGGTTTTCTTCATTTGCTCCCACACATTCTTAGATGTTTTATACTTTTGTGTTTGTGTGTCTTGATGGTTATGAATATATCTTTTTTAAAGTCATTATATTTTCTATATAATTATTATTGCTTGTGTATAGTAAAATTTATTCCAGCTTTTCAGTTGACTTGCTTGGATTTTCATTATACAGTCATATTATCCTCAAAAAATCCTAAACTTTATCTCTTTTCTAATAGCTATTCTTATCTACAGTCTTTGCTGTACTTCATTAGTCAGAATTTCTAGAGTAATATGCTATAGTCCATTCGTCACGAAGAGTCGGACACAACTAAGTGACTAAGCAACTAAGCACTGATAATGTTGATATAAGTCATCTTTGTCTTACATCTATTTTAAATGGCTATTGAGATCACATTTTTCTTGGGACAAGTTTATGACTCAGATAATTCTACCTTTTAGACTTAGTACTAAATCCCCTATAGCCTATTTTTCTTTGTAGCCTCTGTTTTTAAAACTCTTAGTAAAAAAACAACCAGTAACCCATCCTTTCAGCAAACAAGAAGAAAGGCTCACCTCGTCTTCCCGTATTGGCAGCTTTATTCTAGTTTCCATTCCTCTATGCAGAGGCATTTTAGTCTTTTGGTTGTCCAGAATCTGCTTCTCAACTGGAATTCAATTAGCTTTGGGAAATTTCTCATCCCGACTAGATATAATTTATTGGAAATGTAATGAAGAGAGTGATCTTCTGCCTTTCCCCTTAACTAAACAGGTGGGCGGAAAACCTACACTAAAAATTTCAGAAGGTCTTTCTTTAGAAACTGAACCTTAAAAGAAGGGGAAAAGACAATTATTTTTACCAGAATCATTAGCAGAAAACAAAAAAAAATGTGGATTTACATTCTATTCATATGGTAAGACTGTGACCTGACTGCTCTTGGTGTTGTTGGAGTTCATGCCTCCCAGATTCCAGAGACACCCAAGTATTCATTTCCAAACTGAGTTCTCCATTCTCTCATGAATTTCATGACTCCCAGATAGTCTTCTAATGAATTCACAGTGGGCATAACTTTTGGTTGCATGCAAGAGAAGAACTTAAACTTGACATACAATATTATGGTAAACATAAAGAAAGCAGTTGTAACAACAAAATATAACACTCCTTTCCAAGTCCAGACAATGTCCATTCAAAAAAGTGTCATTTTCCACTCCCTTCTCAAAGAGAAGTATTCAAATAAGTTTCCATTCAAGAAGAGATAAAAATAAAAATGTATTAGCAAGGAAATTTTTGAAACTGATTTTTTTGTAATAATAATATTGCCATCTTAAGAGATCAGTGCAATGGAAGTTCCAGCCTGATTTTCAACTTGGTTCTTGAAGTCAATAATACAATTTTTGGAGAGTCATAATTTTTGCCAAAAAAGTAAAGCAAACCATATAAACTCCCATAAATTGTGGATTTTGGTGAATCAGTTTGTTGTACTGTCAACCAGAGTGTGAATATTAACTGAAATGTTTAAAGATTCATAAACAGTGATTTATGTTTTTAAATTTAGCAGACTATAAAGTATGCAAAAAAAGTGTTGAGAGATATTTTGAGTGTTGCACTCAAATAATCTAAGTAATGTAAGAATCAAATTGAAGATTTTTTTTTTTAAGATAAAGTACCTAACAGGTCATTGAGTACATGGCCAACTGTAAACAAGCATTTAGAGAAGGTAAATTTGTCTTTGACAGGTCCTGACCTTCTGTTCCATATTCCTCCTCCTCCTAAAATCCCTTTATGAAGTCTGTAAGCTCCCAGTGAATTACTCACCTGCAAAATAAGGACAATAATATTGTCTCACTGGACCATTAATCATTACATGAGAGATACTGCCTAGCATGGGGCCTTGCACATAAAAATACTCAGCAAATACATTTTATTAGCATTATTCTCTGTCATTTGATTGGTATGTGCTATGCTGGTGTTCATTCAGAATATGCTTAGTACACGTGGAGCATTGACCTGGCAGATATTACATATCAATTTTTTCTTTCAAAGACTAGAGCAGCGTTAAATCATCCTGTTTCCCAGTAAATTCCACAATTAAAATTACGGAAAAGAATATCAGATTTATTCCAAGTTCTGTGCAGAAGAAAGTTAACCTGGTGATACATTTCTGCATTAGTCTGTGACAGTTTGGCATATTGGGAATTTTTATTTCTTTAAAAATAATATCTATAGAAGACATATATGAAAATAACTATATATTTCTATCTACATATATAGTATTGATATTTACCTGTAAAATACCTATTTATTGTCCACCTAGTTAATGAATTTGGATGAACACCTTGTAAAAGCTCTGAAGCTTGCTGGTGTAGAACCAGATTCCTGAAGTTCCCCACACAGATGGATGGCCTCAGGCTTTGAAACCAGACAAGTCTGAGGTCAAGTCCATTTTCCTCATGGTTCCTATGCTTTCCCTACGTATGTCTTTGCTCCTGTAGCCTCCATGCCCGAAATGCCTCCTTCCCCTCTTCCACCTCCCTGATTTTAGTCATTTGAAAAAACTCATCTTGAGGATTACCTCTCCGGGAATACATCTAAATTCTCTAAGATCAGGCAGGGGTCTTTTCTAAACCCCTCAATGTGGGGACTTCCTTGGTGATCCAGTGGTTAAGACTTCGACTTCCAATGCAATCAATTCCTGATCAGGGAGGTAAGATCCCACATGCTGCACAACCTAAAAACCCAAACAGAAAACAGAAGCAATACTGTAACAAATTCAATAGAGACTTTAAAAATGGTCCACATCAAAAGAAAAAATACAAAAACAAAACCAAAAAACCTCCCAATGTGCCCTGCACTTCTCATCTGTATGTGCACGCTC